CCCACATACAGAAATGCACCAACTCCTCAAACCTTCCTGGCGTTTACTTGTTTAAATATGAAGAGTCTCCCACAGATTCGTCTCAGAGTCTTGGTCCCTAGATAGCGGCAGTAGCGACAGGGGATAGGACCATGAGGGTGCTAACCTCATTTACAGAGTTAATCAAGGACTGAGCTATCAGAAACTGGAGCCTGGTTGGAGGAAGCAGTAGGAGGGGCGTGGTTTTGTAGGTCAGGTCTTGCGCTTAGCGTTCCTTTTCCCCTCCCCTTTTTCTACCACACCCTTCCATCCTCTTCTCGAAGATTCTGCTTTGCTCCAGGCCTAAAACCAATGAAGCCACATGACCACAGGCTGAAATTTAACTAAACTTTGCCCAAACAGACTTTTCCTCGTCTTAGTCCTCTCTCATGTGTTTGGCCACAGAAGTAGGAGGGCTCCACCCCATCCCTTGCCTTGGGGTCACAGTCTCTGTGAGTCACAAACACTCATTCTTCTAGGAGGGATGGTACAGGCAGGGAGTGTTGTCTTAATCACAGAGCATCCCACAGGACGGAACAGGGTCAAGGCTTGGCTACATCTCCGCCCCACCCCCCAAGTTCCCCCTCAATGGACAGATCGGCTTACCTCATTCTATAGCTAAAGGAGCAGACCTGGTTCTTCACCCTGGCTCTGCTGGCAGGAAGTTGCATGTCTATTCCCGTTCCCCGTGTCCTCTTTCCTACACCTGTGACCACTGCTCCCTGTGTCCGGGTGCTCTGGACTTGCGCCAGCCCGTGAGGGATCTCCCGTGAGATCCAGGACGCCTGGAGTCAAAGCCACCAGGGCTCTCTCCTGGTGTTGATTTGTTTTCCAACTTGACACAACTAGAGTACCTGGAAAGAAGAGTTGCCTCCAGTTCGATTGGCCTGTAGGCAAGTGGGGGAGGGGGTGCATTTTCTTGACTAATGGCTGACGTGGGAGGGGCTGGCTGATTGTGCCTGGTGCTATCAGATGGTCCTGAGTTCCCTAAGAAAGGCAGCTGAGCAAGCCATGGAGAGCAAGCCAGTACTCCTCCATGGCCCATACTTCGGTTGCTGCCTTGAGTCCCTGCCCTGACTTCCCTCGGTGATGGACTGTTTCCTGGAAGAGTAAGTTGACGTAAACCGTTTCCTTCCCCAAGTTGGTTTTGTCAGGGTCTTATTGCAGCTGCTGAGGCCTGATTAGGACAGTCACCCCCAGAGGAGTGGCTCTCCTACGCTCTATGGCTGTTCTCTCTCTTCAGCTTTGAGAAGCAGGTCACTGGTTAAGGGTGCTGCCCAGGTCCTCAGGATACATCAAAGGGATACAAGTTGCCTGGGGAGCCAGAAGCAGGACTTCTTAGCTGAGTGGCTAGTTGGCTAAGCAGCTGAATTCCAGAGAATGCCTGCCAGTACAAAGCAGCTTAATAAGGTTCAGGAGCCTTATGGACCAGGCTCTAGTGTGACCTGATGCCCTCCCCGGGTATCTGAACTTGAACAAGTCACCTGACTGCTCCAGCCTCAGTTTGCTCATCTGTAAGATGGGTAGTAGGGATACATTCCCCAGCAAGGAAGCACAGACTTTCTGGCATGATGTATTTACCTCATTATGATTAAAATAGAATTTGTGTGAAGCTCCCACATGGTGGGGAGTCAACTCCCAAACTATCTTGTTTTAAGCCCAAACTGGGGCTTTTTGAGGACGTAAGGTTTACATGTATGAGTCTCTTCTAATAGCCCCTCTCCTCAGGTACATTTCGGACCTTCAGCCAAAGGTTCGACAGAGACTGTGTCAGCAGACCTCACTGTGTTAGGCGCTTTGACACGTCTCATTTAGTGCCCCTGACTGCACCCACTTGCCCATCTGACTGCAGGAAACTGAGGTCCAGATAGGGTGCCCCACTTGAGGTCATACAACAGTTACTTGAATGAGCAAACCTCAGACACAAGCGTGCCTGTAATAGGCCGCTGAGGGGAAGGTCTGGGGAAGAGGTTGTTTTGTCTCTGAGTTCTCCAGCTGGCCCGGGATGGGCTCATCTGGAGTGAAACAACACTCCTTAGACTCCAGTGCTGGATACTCAACAGCCAGTCAGAGGGACCTTCTGAGCAAGGGCAGGAGCTTGTCCTTCCATTTCACGTGCCTCTCTTCCTACTCACTCAGCTCCTGCCTCCCACCTAAAATGCCGACGACAGTAAGCTCTGTGTCTCCACATCAGCCTGAGTTCCCTTTATATCCCGAGGATGGACCCTGGGCAGAACTTCCTCTTGCCAGATGAATCCCCTGTGTGTTTCGCTTCCCTTTCTCGGTGGGAAATGTTCTTAGCCCAGTCTCTGCACTGCGGGAGCTGTAAACTTGTGTCTTATGCCCACGCCCTTGTTGAGGCATGACTGTAGCAAGAGAGTGGGCAGGGGGCATCCTATCTCCAAGAGAGACACTCAGGAGTGGCAAAGGCCCACGTTAGGCCCAGCTCTGCAGACCAAGAGGCAATGAGCATCACGGAGCTACTGTGGGAGCTAGGAGGCTGACAGACATGGGGAACACTGAGGAGGCTCCTGTGGAAAGAGGGACTTGGTTGTCTTCAGGACTGAGAGACCTGTGTAGGCAAAGACTGAAGTATGTGAGCCCTATAGCTCAGGAGACTAGTCCTGCTGTGCACAGGCTCACCCTGCTATGTGTATGGAGCCAGTCCCTGAGGAACCTTATTGTGGTCATCCATCCACCCACCCATCTTTCTATCCACCCATCCATCCATCCATCCACCCAACCATCCATCCATCCATCCACCCACTCGTCCATCCATCCATCCTTCCATAATCCATCAGAGGTTATGCCTTTTGTGTTTTATAAAAAGAAAATGAAGCCAGGGATATGTTTGGTAGAGTGATCAGGTATATCTGGCTGTTGCCAGGTAACTGTGGGGTGGAGCCTAGAAGAAATCCCAACAGTGGCTGTTTTCACCAAGTAGGATACAACCCTGGCAATGAACCTGAGGTCCTGTACAGCTGTCCAACCTACACATGGCTTCTCATCTTCCCCAGGCCACCAGAGTGCCTGCCACATCTTTAGAGCTACTCCTTGGGTTGGAACCACTCCTTGGGCTACTATGCCACCCTAGGATCCCTGAAGAGACATCCAGCCACCAAGAATTGTCAGGAGAGAATGTTCACAGTGGCATGAGTGTTTTACTCCCCCTCTTTCAATGCCAGGAGGACCCAGGCACAGGTGGTGGGGAAGGGCACAGAAAGGGCAGGTGAAGGTACTAAAGCCACATCCACTCATTGAACTTAACAAACCTCTTGAAAGCACCCTGTTCCCAGCTCTCAGTGGCTCTGAGAGGTAGCCTAGCTCCTTCCCACCTAGCCAGTCATTGATGACAGAGAAGCAGCTCCCCTCATTCTAGACCCCAAAGACTATCCCCAAAGCAAGGCCTAGAGGAACTCTGACCCAGCAAACAAGGAATTCCACTCTGAGTAGGCCTTGGGGACTGGGGGTGGGTAGGTGTCAATCCACCTGGGTCCTCACCTGGCTGTACTGGAGATTGACTATGTGACCCTGACATGTCACCTCTGAGCTTTGGAGTCAGTTATTTCAGCACTGACTCTAGGGTAGACAGGAAAGACCCAGGAATAGCTGGGTCTCCGAGCTCCCCCGAGCTCCCCCGAGCTCCCCCGAGCTCCCCCGAGCTCCCCCGAGCTCCCCCGAGCAAGAGCAGCCTCTGAGGCACTGTGCTGGAGGATTCAGATCACATCTTCCTGAAAGCAGGCAATAGGAGAGCCTCTGGAATAAGCGAGTCTCTGCTCAGGGAACACAGTGCATGATGGTCCCCTCTCTCATTCTACCCAACCCAACTGCAGGCCAGGATTGGGCTATCCTTCTCCCATCTGCTTATGTGTCCTCCTTATCCTGCCGGTCTTTCTAAGCACGCCCAAGACTTCATCGTAATTACGTTTATTCCGTTCTCCATCTATTAGCAAGACAGTGTGGGGACAGTATTATTCTGTCACCGATTTCTATATGAAATGAGACCATGCATCCTCACGTTACTCTGTCTAGCTTTGGTCTGTGTCCCTGCATCCTTGACCATTAAAGGAATTTGAAACTCTGTAACTATATGTAACCATTCCACTTAGACTGACTTTAATAATTGTGTGTGTGTGTGCGTGTGTCATATATAATGAAGCCTATGACATCATCACTGTGTCATTGAGCTGGACCAGCAAGCCATTCTTCAGCGGCAGGATCCTGAGGAAAAAAAGTAACTGGATCAGAAAAAAAAAGAAGATAGGAAAGTTTGTGCTCTGGAGATCTTGTAGAATCTCTGTCTTATGCCAAGCAGGTTAATTAGGAAGTACAGTATCTTCTATGTCATTTTAAGGAGAAAAATGGGACAAAGTCAGCAGATGGCCTTCTGTATGCATCACATGAGGTCTATTCTCATGAGTGGCCATGCTCTCCTGTCCCTTCCCATGTGTGCCCACGCTCTCTCTCACCTTCCCGTGAGAGTCCACCCTCTCCTGTCCTTCCCATGAGTGTCCATGCTGTCCCTTCTCCTGTGTCTCACTCTCTTCTGAGATACCCTAGAGAGCCTCCATTATGTATGGCTTCCTTGACCAACCCTGGACAGTTGGAAGGAACCTCATAACCTAGGAGCTCCCTGACAGCAGCCCTCTGCCCTCAGAGGGAAGAAGACTGTCTGTGGTCTCTGGGGCTGAGAGCACCGAGACCCAGGAAACCCTACCATCAAGAGGCCCCTCCTAGAGAGGCACCAGTTTCACAACTTAGGCAGCGGGTTCTACTTCTGCAAGAGAAAATAACACTTTGGTTGCTTTCCTATAGGAAAAAGGAAGAGCGGCAGAGCTGACGTCTTCTCTGACACAGTGTATTCCTGAACTACGGAAGAGCCCGTCCAGGCCTTGCCCCAGCCCAGGGCCTTCCTGAGCACACAGCTGCAGGGTTAGTACCAGGTTTACCCCGGCAATAAGGTAGGTGAAGGTCATGGGGACCGGGAACCCCAGGGAGGCTGGTGAGGTTAGGGGAGGACCCCTGGCCAGAGGCAGCATCTTTTCACTTGTCACCCATGGTAGCTATTAAGAGGTTTGGGTTTCTGTTCTCCCCCATCAACTGGGATCCAAGACAAACAAGTCTGCCTCTGCAGGAGTGCCGCCTGGCAGAGAGCTGGCTCCCATCAGATGTGACTGCTTGGTACCTCAGAGAGAGATCCCACTGGGCCATGTTTACTTTCAATATCCTTGGGCCAGGACACTGACTTCTAAAGGATGAACTGTGACCTCACCCTGTCCGAGGGCACTGGTGCCCAGCCCTCAATCCTGGGCTCAACCCTGCCTCAGGAAGAAGTGTTCTTCGGGGTCAGAAGGCCGGAGCCTGAGGTGTATCTGTCTGCCTGGGGGAAAGGCTGTCCTTGGGGGAGTGGGGAGCAAGGTCCCACTGTCAACTAGATCTCTATTGATACACAACCTTCAAAAAGCAACAGGGCAGAAGTGTGATGACCTAGCCCAGGCTCCCTGCCCCGGTTTAAGATCTAGGCTCCCGTTTACAGTTGGCTGAGCGATGACCATTGTATGTGGATGTCTCCGTACCTAGTTTCCTAGTAAGTGTGCCACTTGCTGTGGCCCAGAACTATAGGGACTGCAGGGTGGGTCATACCCTACCTCTGGGAGACCTTAGGGAGACAGGAGAGGAGCTTGAGGAAGACAAGAGCCTGCAGAACTCTGGGAGCAGTGGGGAGAGGGGGAGCAGTTGTAAATATGAAAGGGTAGGGTTGGGCAGGTGCCCTTGTGATTGACGTCAGAGGACAGAGGTAAGATCATTTTCCCCAGGGAAGAAAGCGTTAGAACTGGACTCTGAAGGGTGAGCAATGTTTTCATGTCGAGTTTAGGAGAGAGCATGCCTTCTTAGCAGAAATCAAATACATATCGCAGACCAAAGCCAGGCGCTAGAGAAAGAATATAATTACTATTGAACCCCACTTGGCCTCTGGTTGTCACTCTTGCCAAAAGTGACAACAAATCTTAGGTGGTGTGGGGTATGTAGATGTAGCAGAGCCTGCTCTTTAAAGCCAGGCAGGGACCAAGCAGACCTTGGGTGGGGCCTCCCCATGTGTCCCTCGGACACTGACGGACAAGTTCCTAGAGGCGGAGCTGTGGGACCTTGTATGCATTTCCCGGAGCTCCTGAGGGACTTAAGTGAGCCAGATTTTCCTTCTGCCCACTGTCTCCACCAGAAGCTACCTCTACCCAGATGTTCAGGAAAGGTGAGCCCCGAACCTGGTGCTGGGCTCCTGAACCCGGTGCTGGAAGCACCATAGAGAAGGTGCTTGCTGTTTTTACCTTCCGTGCGGTGCTCAGAGACCTTTTCTCTTGCTCTGTACCCGCCTAGCTGGAAGTGCCATATCTTCCCCTTCAAGAGGGGTGCTCCCAAGAACGAAGGCCTGTCTCCACAGCACCTGAATTGACACCTGGCTTGAAGAAGACTCTGCAAGATTTTGTTTGTTGCACATCTTCCAGATCCAAGAAAGCCTGTCGTGTCTGCTCCTCTGTACGTATAAAGCAGGGACAGACTGTCTCCAAATGGCCTGTGGACTATCAGGTTCTACCCTGTAAGCTGGTAAGATTTATCCCTAGCGGGGGAGGATGGGCACACCTGTGTTATAAAACAGTACAGTTTGGAGAGGACGGGCAGTATGTCTTGTTGGGGTGTGGGGAGATGGAGTTCCAAGGTTAGTGTCATCCTCTACCCCATCCCAGCTTGAGCAGAATGACTGTATCCACTTAGGCATGGTTCTCATCTGAAAGATGTGGCCCCCGGGATCCCCAAGTAGGCAGCCTGTCTGGGCTCAGAAAACTACAGAGGTGTGTCTTTGTCATGTTCTTCCCAGGATCTATGGAGAGGCCCCTCACAGTCCTGCAGGTGAGCCTGTACCACCCTACACAGGGCCCGCTCGCCTTTGCCCAAGTCCCACTGCAGCTGCAACATGATGTCAACCGGCTGCTGGTCGGGCGAGGGCAGGACACTCACCTCCAGCTGCAGCTACCACAGCTGTCTCGCCATCATTTGTCCCTGGAGCCCTACCTGGAGAAAGGCAGCAGTCTGCTGGCCTTCTGCCTCAAGGTGCTGACCCGGAAGAGTTGTGTGTGGGTCAACGGGCTGCCACTGAGGTACCTGGAGCAGGTTCCCCTGCACACCGTCAACAGAATCTCCTTCTCTGGCATCCAGATGCTAGTCCGCAAAGAGGGGGGCGCCTCCCTTGAGGCCTTTGTCTGCTACTTCCATCTCAGCCCTTCACCCCTGATTTACAGACCCAAAGCTCAGGAGACAGATGAACGAATGGGAAAACATTGTTAAGAGACTCCCCTGTTTTGGGGGAGGCAACTCGTGAATTCCTGAGGTCTCTCCACGGCCCCTCTCAGTCTCAGACAGCTACTTCGCTGCCAAGCCGGGGAGAAGCAATAGAAACAAAGTTGCAGAAGAAGCTTCCAGACAATGGATACTACCAGCCCTGCTGCTGAGAGCAAGCAGTAGGAAAACAGGGTTTGACATAGTTCGTCCTGCAAGGCTGACACACAGTTCACATGTAAAGCCTGCTGGCCGCCATGTTCACAGGGAACTGATTCAGTAGGCTTTGAGCAGCCTAGAGGTGGAGAAGTGCCTTCCATGGCTCTGGGTAATGGGAACTTCATATACTTTTAGAGGCCCTGAGGGATTCTGGGAGCCTCTCCCAGTATTCTGTGCACCCCCTCCCCATTTCCTCCCTTGTCTGGCTAGGAGTTACTTTACATCCCTCATCTCCCACACTGCCTCAGGGCAGGAGCATGGGGTTGCGGCAGGAATGCAAGGACACGGAGAGAAATTATGTTTGTGGTAGCTTGGGGTTACCTTCAGCTTTCAAATACCCACAGGCGCTCAGGGCTTAGGAGAGCCTGTGTTTAATAAACTAAAAGTATTTCATTATGCTGGCATGCCCACTGGATTCCCTGAGGCCCAGATGGGCCACATGTATACCATGTTGTCATTGGGCTGGGGGTGGGTGGGTGAGAGATGGGAAACCTGGGTGAGGTGTGAGAGGAAATTGGGAAGGTAGGTAGGCGCTGACTGGGAAGGCTGCAAGCAGAGCTCCAGGCTTCTGGCAGGGGAGGAGCTAGACACTAGGACTGCTTGGGAATTTCTTGTCCTCCTCTCTTCTTCCTCTTCCTCTCCACCCTCTTCTCGTTCCATCTCCTCTCATCCCATCCTCTGTCCCTTCTGGGAGAGAGCCTTGGTTGATCAGAGGGCAAAGTTCTTCAGGGAAAGATGGTTTTCTAGGGAAGTGGGCTCTTTCAGAACTGATTTCTGAGATTGGGGTGCAAAGTTATGTAAGAAGTCAACCCAGCAGTTACCTCACTCAGAGTAGGTCAGATGCTGGTGTGGGGGAGGGGTGTGCCTATCCTTCCTGAACTCGGGTTTGAGGGTGATGGTGGGTTGTTAAGAGGCCAAGGAGGCAAGGATGGGAGAATTTTCTCAGGAGGAAGGGAGCAGAAGGCTAGCAAGGCTAGTGTCTATGCAGGAGAGTCCCACAGACTCTGCTAACCACCATGACCCCGATCCTGCACTAGCACATCCCAAACACTGAGGGGGACCCCCTTTGCGCCCAAATCCTGGGTCATAGGATCAATACCGCTCCCCCCTCCACTGCACACATCTTCCCCAAAAGGAAACTAACACTAGACAAGACACATGCATGGTTGGGAAGTCCCTCCTCCTATAGAATATGGATTGAGTGCATTCAGATCACAGATATGAGACCAAGGAGGATGTGTGTCTACCTGGGACCGTGCTGGGCATGCTGTGAATGGCCCCCCAAGACTCCCAAAGCAGTTTATCCCTCGTTTGTCCATGAACTTGTACCAAACACCCACCTCATGCCAAATGTGTACCAAGTCTCAGGATCCAGGAATAAACAAAACCAATAGAATCTGCCTGCCAGCAGCTTGCCGGCCTCAGGAGATAGAAGCATTCGGGAACAAATGACTTAATTATCACAGCTGTTGATAGCTTCACTCTCCTCTGTTCAGTTGGAGTTAAGCCCTATCTTCAAGCGGGTTTGAAGTTTACAGTTCTGTATGTTCATCCCTCCGTTGAGTGAGTCACCATGTAATAAGCCACTGAGCTCTGGCGCCAGCAGTCACTACCCAGTCACTCCCCACAGTCCCCCCAGATAGACACTGGTCTCAATCACAGTCCTCAGGTAAGGACAGTAAAATTCAGAAGGTGAGAAGCCAGGGCCATCTCCTTTGTGAGCTGGGTGACCTCAGGCAAGTGAGTTGGCCCACCGTGCCCTGTATTTCTCCCTCTGGAAAGCCAGGAAGATAAGCATTCCAACCTGGCCGAACAGTTGAGAGCATCGTAGGAGGCAGGGCATGGAAAACACTTAGTGTCGTGCCTGGCACACAGGAGGAACTCAGAAAAAGGCTTTCATCCTGAGACCAAAGCCTAAAAAGGAGGCGCAGGTCCCCTGGAAGATTCAAGTGCTGTCCCGTCTGCCATCACAGAGCAGCTGCCCACAGACAAAGCTGGAGATGACACACTTAGAGACCATGTGTGACCACTAAAGGCTGAAGGGACCAGGGTCTCTGGGTGCAGCTCCTGGCACCTCTGAAGAATTTGTAGAACAGATTCTGACTGCCTCTCTCCCCTCCAGGAGGGTACAAACCTACCCATGCTAGGGGCCCACGAGATAGTAGAGTACTTCCCCCACGGAGACTGTGTGATTGGAGTGTTTTGGGTGGAGTGTCTGTGCGGTCCTCACACTGAAGAGTAAGCTGGAGGGTGACAGGCCAGACACAGGAAGGGGAAGAGCCAGGAAACATCTGGCTTGTTTCACAAAGTCTCCTCAGGAGAATTTCTTCCTCCTCCTCCTCTTTCTCTTCCTTCTTTTATTTTTTTTTTTTTAGACAGTCTCACTGTGCGGGTCAGAGCCCACTTGTGCTCACCGTCCTGCATCTGCTCTCCCAAGTGCTTCAGTTAGAGCTATTCACCAACCATCGCTGGCTTGTGTCATGTGTTCAAGAGAGGAAATTCTGCTAGACTCTGCTTCTCTTGAAAAACATAAACCTCTACCTGCCAGATTCATGCCCCTCCCCCCGTTCCACTCCTCTAGCTCTTGAAATTTGCAGGTTGACTTCAAGACCCCGGTTTGTGGCTTCACCTGCTTATGCAGGGTCCCTTCTAACTCTCTCCTATGAATGTCCTCAGCTTCCCCATCACAGCAGTGCAGCCTGTGTGGCCTCAGGCATGAGCACATGGAAGCAAAAAGAACATACAGATGCACAGACACTCGTATGCACAAAACACCAGTAGCTTCAAGCTGGGCTCTGGTCAGCCTGCTGTCTGGGCTACAAGTCACACTGCTCACATATCATCCCATGGTCTTTAGACCTGTGCCTATACGTCAGAGGCCCTGTAGAGGTAAACTGAGGCACTGCGTGTAAATGTGTCTGTGGCACACAGTAGGTGTTCAGGAGGGTCAGTTAGCGTTGGCCAGTTCAGTGGACCAAGTTAAGCACCCGTGGTCCTGTGGACTTAATCGTCCGTACACATATGCTGCGGACACACCTGCCGTAAGATAAATAAAACCCTTCTGGTCAGGGAGACCTCAGAGCCCTCAGTTCTGGAGACAATGTCTGGAAATTCAGAAGTTATTCCCCACCCAGCCTGTTGAGGCTAGTTGATCCTCACGGGCCTGGGCTTCACTGTGAGTCTCCCCAGCCTGCCTGAGTCTCCATATCCTGTCAAAGCTATTGGATGCCTTGCACCCCAGTGGCCGTGATGGGGCTGGCCAGAGGATGTCACCCCAAGAGTGATAATGAAGGCCTGAGGCAAACTTCACAAAGCAGTCATCAGTCATCAGAGCCCACAGTGGAAGCAGCCCGTGAGTCAAAAAGATTGGAAAGTCTGGGAGTTTGAAAGATAGTTGTCCCTCCCTCTCTTGCCTCAGTGGGCAGCCCAGGGCTTCAGAGAACTTAGCAGTGTTTCTTTTCTCTTCCTCCTTGAGCCTTTGAACCCCAACTCAAGTGGAACCTGGGTTTGGGCATTTATATGGTGACTGCTTGACTGTCATGGAGAAGGGGAGACCGCTCCCTCTCCCCAGCACTTTCAGCCTCCAATAGAGGTTCAAGGCTGCAGGCTCTCCCAGGAGACCCTGAGAAGGGCCCTTAGCTGTGGCAGTCAGGAGTCAGCTGGCTAGACCAGATCCAGGCCAGTTACCTGCCAAATATCCTTTCCCTGGCCCCCTCTCCCAAGTATGCACCAGCAATACCCACCTTGCTCTGCAAGCCTGCCAGCTACACACACCAGTACTGCTATAGACCAGACAGCACCAGAAGACCATCCTGCCAGAGATCCAGACATGACAGTTCTTCACCTGAAGAAATATGTATTGCTATACAAAGAAGCAACAGTCAATTTTGCCAGCAGGGCACCGAGGGAGCATCACCAGGGCACCCAGGGAGCATCACCAGGGCATCCAGGGAGCACCACCAGGGCATCCAGGGAGCACCACCAGGGCATCCA